AGAAGAAGAAGAAGAAGAAGAAGGCGAGCACACAGAAGCGTGCACGGAGGAATGAAATCGTCAAGAGAAGAGGAGGAACGGATGTAGGGAGGTGTTTTTATGAAAGGCGAGCAGTGTGCGTTGACGTCAATTATATAGGTGGCCACGGCAGATAGCCGGCGTCCGTGCACGAACCCCTTCTTGGTCTTCTCCTTAATGGGTTAGGTTTAGGTCGCCGGCAGAGGTTATCGGTCTCTTCGTGTTCCCTTCACCCGCCCCTCTACCCATCAGCTCAAGCTGACACACGCTATCTGCCTCTGCTCGTCGCCTAGGGATTTTCAAAGTAGATAAGTCCCGACGACGAGAAACTCCGCGATAGCTCCTAGCTTCTTGCATTTGAACAGAGTAGACAACTTTCGGAGTGGGTGTGTAATATTCACGAGGACGAAGGGTGGATTAGACCAGCAGCAGCGACACGTTGCTGACCTCCGCGCGTCGAGGCGGCATGATCACGTCAGATCTGTGCACACATACAATGGAGAAATGTGTTTCTGTTTCTTTTTTTTTTTTTTTCTTTTTCTCTTTTACGACTCGGGTCAAATCGGATGCAACTTGCAACAAGACACACAGCGCTTCGTCCATGTGAAAAATCTCCAGCTGATAGAGGAACATCGAGACGCTGACGTACGTAGGAAATCCCGCCTATTTAGGATACGTATAATACGTGGCGAGCGGATTTAGGTCAGGCTGTAGCTGACCAGCAGGCCAAGTTAGAGCGGAGCGAGGCTGGTCAATCAGCTGCCACTCTACGTGATGTCACATTTGTTTTCTCAATTAGCTGAATGTCAGACGGAGCAGCTCGCGAACAGTTTGCGAACGACAAGTTCGCCGGCAAGTGTGCGAACACTTTGGCGATCAGCGAACAGCGTGCGGCAAACTGGTCAGCTATCAGTAGTTGTTCGCTCGAGAGGTGCTCTGGTTGAAATGACAGTGCGTTCGCGACAGACGTGGATGAGCACTGAGCGTTGCTTTTCTTTGCGTTAGTTAATTGGAAACGAAGGACTGACGTGTGATCTATTGTATAAATATCGAATAATATTAAATAATTCTCATACTTGCCGATGTAAGCATCTAGCTTCGGAGGATCTAGCTAGTGCGCGAATAGCATCTAGCTAGTGCGGATCCAACGTTAGACGCGTGATAGTTTGTTTGCAGAGTGAACGAACTAATAACAGAGTGGCTAAGGATACCCGGTTGCAAAAGTGACTCGTTGTCAGAGTTGCAGCTTATGAAATTCTTTTATCAATTGGAGATAGATCGTTGGCTATCGAGTAGGCGCCGACATATATATATATATCGATGTAATTGTTGTTTCACCATGATTGAGCAACGGTGTGGTAATCTGTCGCGAAGTTGCAGGATCGGGGAATGAGAGAATTTATCGAAACGGTGGAATAGAGAGGTCGAGTGTGCGATTTTGTGCATCAGAAGGCGGAGCGTGTCAGCCGTGGCCCTTTTTAAACGATG